ACGTATTTTCACTCAAGTGAGAGTCAATCTCACTTTCACCCTCGAACGCGCCTTCACATCCAACATATAAATATATAACTATATAACTATATAAATATATATAAATATATCAAAATATATAAATATATTTGTATTTATATATTCTATATTTATATATTTGCACGAATATATATTTATATGTATATAAATATAATTTATTTGTAAATTATTATAAAAAAATTATAGTAGTTTAGTGGTTGAAGTATCAATTTTCAACTCTAAAATACTCGGGTTCAAAAATCTCGTTAGTGACAATTCTCTAACTTAAGTAAATTTTTGGCCAAAAAAAATAAAAACACTTTCCAGAAAATATATATATTTACACGGATATATATTTATTTATATATAAATATAATTAATTTGTAAGTTATTATCGGAAAATTACAGTAGTTTAGTGGTTGGAGTATCAACTTTTAACTCTAAAATATTGGGTTCGAATCTCGTCGATGACAATTCTCGAACTTAAGTAAATTTTTGGCTGAAAAAAATAAAAACACTTTCCGGAAAATATATATAAATAAATATATATTTACACGGATATATATTTATTTGTATATAAATATAATTAATTTGTAAGTTATTATCGGAAAATTACAGTAGTTTAGTGGTTGGAGTATCAACTTTCAACTCTAAAATACCGGGTTCGAATCCTATCAGTGGCAATTCTCGAAATTAAGAGAATTTTTGGGTGAAAACACATTCAACGTCGGTTCATCTAGAACCGACGTGGAAAGTGCTTTCTACGTCGGTTGACTAAGAACCGACGTAGAATGTGTCCAACATTCCACTTTCAACGTCGTTTTTTAACCAACCGACGTTGAAAGTGTATTTAACGTCGGCTCAGCTTTAACCGACGTTAAATGACGACGTTGAAAGTATATTTTGTAGTAGTGGTAGTTGGAGTTCTTCTTGAACATAACTCCTTTTTCAGGAGTAGCTTTTATATACCTTAAAATCCATATAACAATATCTATGTGTTTTTCACCTGGATTGTGCATGAACTGGCTGATCACACTAAGAGCATAAGCTAAATCTGACCTAGTGTGTGAGAAATACATCAATGTCCCTACAAGTCTCTAATATCTTCTCTTGTTAGTTGGAGTTTGATTTTCTTCAATACACAACTTCAATCTCTCTTCAATTGGAGAATTTGTTGGTTTGCATGCTGTAATTCCAGTTTCTTTTAGTAAATCCAATGCATACTTTCGTTGTGAGAGAAAAATACCTGACTTTGATTTTGAGACCTCAATTCCAAGAAAATATTTCAAAGGACCAAGATCATTCATCTCGAATTCTTTTGCCAAGTACTCTTTCAATGTCTTGCGTTCCTCTAGATTGTTTCCTGTAACTATCATGTCATCAACATAGACAATAAGAATTGTAATCTTTTCTTTTTTTTTTTCTTTAGAAACAAGGTATGATCTTGGTTGCTCTGTTGGTATCCAAAAGCAAGCATTGACTTGGTGAATTTACCAAACCATGCTCGTGGTGATTGTTTTAGTCCATACAATGACTTCTTCAACTTGCATACCTTTCTGCTATGTGTATTCAGGATCTCACATCCTTCTAGTAGCTCCATATAAACTTCTTCAAACAATTCCCCGTGTAAGAAGACATTTTTTACGTCAAATTGTTGTAAGGACCAATCAAGGTTTACAGCTAGAGATAACAATACTCGAACTATACTAATTTTGGCTACGGGAGCAAACGTTTCAGTGTAATCTATTCCATATGCTTGTGTGTATCCCTTTGTCACTAATCTAGCTTTGAATCTCTCAATTGTGTCATCTGCATTAAATTTCACAATATACACCCATCAGCATCCTACTGGTTTCTTTCCAACTGGACAATCTACTAATTCTCATGTTTTATTTCTTTGCAAGGATCTCATCTCCTCATTCATAGCATCCTTCCACCTGAAGTCAGCTAAAGCTTCCTGCACACTGTTAGGAATAAATATAGTAGATAATTGACTTATAAATGCGATATTTGAGTTAGACAAATTCTGGTTACAAACATAATTACTCATAGGGTATCTTGTCTTACTGGTGAGGTCAGGATCATAAGTAGGCTTAGGGATACCTCTAGTGACATGATCTGACATAATTCTTTTTTCTGTATTAGGTTCTTGAGGGGACGATTGGTGTGATATATCATTAGCATCAACAGACAAATTTTCGATCTCAACATGCTCAAAATCTTTCTCATTATGTGGTTATTGATCATAACATTGTTGCATATTTTCATCATCTCTTGATACAACTTTGTAATTTTCTTTCTCCAATTTGATCTCAATATCAATTTCTTGAGGAACAAAAGTCTGAACTTCATCATTATTCTCCCCCTAAATTTCAGACTCGGGAGAAAAATATATCAAAGTTTCATGAAAACCTACATCTATAGTAGTAAACATTTGTTTGGTTTGGGGATTGTAGCACCGATATCCTTTCTGGTGATCTGCATAGCCAAGAAACACACACCTTTCAGCTCTAGGAGACAACTTACTTCTCTGATGCTTGTGTAAGTGAACATAAGCAACACAACCAAAAACTCTATGTGTTAGTTCAACAATTTTAGGACTTACTACTGCATCTGTAAATGATTGAAGAAGTGTTTTATACTCAAGAGACCTGGACGGTGTTCGGTTGATAGTGTATACTGCATATGTGAGAGCTTCTTCCCAATATATTGCTGGCATGTGAGCTCCAATTAGTGCAGCTCGGACCACCTCCAATAGATGACGGTTCTTTCGTTCTGCCATCCCATTCTGTTATGAAGTACTTGGACAAGATCTTTGATGAACAATTTCTTTGGCTACTAAAAAATGTTGAAGTTCTGATTGCACATATTCTCCTTCGTTGTCACTGCGCAGTACCTAAATTTGTGTTTTGTACTGGGTCTCAATCATTTTGCAAAATTTCTAAAATAGTCCTCCAACTTCACTTTTAAACTTCATCAAACATAACCAAGTCATTCGAGTACAATCATCAATAAACGTTACAAACCACGTCGAGCCACCCAACGTTGTAACCTTAGATGAACCCCATACATCAGAGTGAATGATCATAAAAAGAAGAGAACTTTTATTTAAAATTAAAGAAAAATATATTCTATGACTCTTTGCAAGCTCACAAACATCACAATAAAAAGTTGAAGAGTCTACTTGGTCAAATACATTTGGAAATAATTTATTTATGTAACCAAAAGATGCATGTCCTAGACGCTTATGTCATAACCAGATATCCTCGTCTTTTCTTACTTCTTGAGACCCTTTTGTTGCTAGCACTTGACCAAGTCTTTTTGAATCTTTTTCTGTCAGGTCCAGGTAATACAACCTTCATCGCCAAATACCACAATCAATCGTCTTCCTCGTTTGAATATCCTTAAAAATACAAAAGTCAGGCCTAAAAATTACAACACATAAAAGAGCTTTGGTTATTTGTGAAATTGACAATAGGTTATATTTAAAAAAAGGAACAACAAGGACAGTATCAAGATTCAAATTGTTTGAAATAGAGACAATTCATTCTCCAATAATAGTGGATTTACTATCATTGGTTGTGGATATATTTTTTTGTGAGGAAGGTTTAAGATTTTTAATTTGTCTAACATCAAAAGTCACATGATCAGAACATGCAGAGTCAATTATCCATGCATTATTCAGAACGGTAGATGTGTTTATTAAAGTCTTACCATTAGAATCATCATTACCTGCGATTATAGCAAACATCATGCATTTATCGTCCTTTTTGCCAATGGCAGTTACAGTAGCAACAGTTGGATTTCTTTTTGAATTCTTCTTCGATGTTCGACTGTGATCCCACCACTCGGGGTATCCTATAATTTCATAGGATCGTTCCTTGGTGTGTTCATCCTTATTACACTGAGTACACTTGTAGTTACCTTTTTCAAAATCTTTTGATTACTTCGATTTACTGTAGTAATTTGTTGGCTCCTTCTTTGTCATCATAGCTGTGGAATAAAAAATCATATCTTCTGTTTTCAACATTGTTCTCCGAACTGTCTCTCTTTGGATCAATGCATAATATTCTTCTAAATCAGGTGTCACTTCTTTGCGCAAGATTTCTCCATGAACTTGCTCAAAATCATCATCTAGTCCAGCAAGGAATATATGCACCCTTAATCTTTCAATGGACTTCTAATATGACTTCATATCACCAGGGTCCTTCATGACTACTTTGTTACGATGGTCCAATTCTCTAAAAATCTCAATCATCTCCCCATAATATTCAGTTAAGGTTTTATTATTTTGTTTTGCAGTGAATGTCCTTTGATTCAGGGCAAACATCTGTAGCTCATCACTTCCATCATAAAATGCTTTTGACAAAGCATTCCAAATATCGAGGACAGTGGGTAAACGAATATACCTTTTCATAATTTCTGGCTTCATGGACATCAATAGCCATCTTTTCATTATTTTGTTTTTAGCATACCATTTTTCATATCCGTCATCGTTCTTTGTTGGAGGTTTCACCTTCCCACGGATATAAGATACTTTTTCCCTCTCTGCAATGGCATCTTCATTAGTTGTGACGATACGTCATAATTGGATTCATTAGGATGATATGTCTGCGTTGAAGACATTTTCATATTGAACAATCATTGGAATTAGTTTTTTTGTCATCTCTCCAGTTAAGATCTCCAAGAATTTTGAAAGAAAAAAAAATTATAAACTCTAGTACCAAATTGAAAAACATAAAATTTATTCTATATTTTTATTTATATTATTTTTATAAATTATACTATGATTTTATAGTATTTTACTCTAACAAATCAAGACTAATTATAAGAAATTCTGATTATACAATGTTTTATATCGCTATACAAACTTATAATTTAATTAATCAAATATATTTATGCACCACATATCCATTTTCACTAAGACATCTTACTACTAGTCGGTCAACATGTAATAGCAGTACCTATATTAATACAACGCCTTATATGGTTGACATAGGTTCAATCATTAAATCATCCATCACCACGTAAGTCACAACTCCTTGCACAAATCCATTCTTGTTGGGGAAAACATCTTTTGCAATCTTTTTGCCAACATATTTTATTTTAATGTTCATACCTACTCCTGCAACTTGGACAGAAGAGTCGTGTTATCACATGTGACATTGTAACCACAGCAATTATAGCACATATAGAACGAAGCATCCAAGTCGTCACCATCAGAGTAATCATTGGGAGGGAGAAGGTTAGTGACTTGTGGTGAAGAAAAAGGAACTTTTGGCTTCAACAGGGTATCCTTTTGATGGTTTTGTTGCATGTAAGTATCACAATATTTTCAACACTTCCATAGAGATTGGCCAAGCAACCAATCATACCAGTTTTGTTGAGAAGCCTTATGACAGTGCCCAGAGACAAGCACAGCAAGTTAAAGAGGAAGTCTATGACCTCTTTTGATGTTTCAGCGAATAAGACTTTCTCATGATAAGCAATTTCAGGGTCAGTTTGGCAGAAGAAGGACAAGAAGCCATGTTGAAAAAAGGGAGACAAAGATAGCGCTGGGTACTTTAGGGTTTTGGGTATATGTAGCTTTTATATAAAGTATATATAATACTGCCTCAACTACGTTATTTTATTAATATAATTTATATAAATAGAATAAACATATAATATTCAATATAATTAATATTTTAATTATAATTAATTAAATCAAAATAATAATATAATTTTTTATTTTATTTTAAAAAATAAAAATATTGTAATATCTAATTTAAAATAAAAATATTGTAATATCTAATTTAAAAAAAATATTTTAATATCTAATTTAAATAAAAATTATATTTATTCTTAATATCAAAATAGATTTGTTAAAATAGATCTAAGTTTATTTAGGGTAAAAAAATTTATAATCTAAATCAAATCAGATCAATTTTATTTTTGTTTAATAAAATAATAATTTACATAAATTTAGATTATAATTATAAGTAAATTTATTTTATAAAATAATAAAAAATTTTAAATAAAAATAAAATTCTATTTTATTAATATTATATATATTATAAATTAATTTGATAAAAAATTTACATATATTAAAAATAATAAATAAAAGAATAATTTTAATAATAAAATAATTAAGATAAATTATTATTTTAAATTACTAAATAATAATAATAATATCTCTTTATCTTTTATTTTAAAATAAATAATATATTTTTTTATAATTTATATATTAAATCATTATATTAAAAATAAAAGTTAATTTTATTCATATATTATATATTTTAAAAATATATTTTTATTTTAAAAATAAATTTTAAATTTATTATTATTTATTTATTATTTTTAATCATATCAAAATTAGTTCATTAACCTACTTAACATAATCACGTAAATTGAAAATTATAATTCATTTTAAAACAAAAAGTTATAACTCATTTTAAAACAGAAAATTATAACAACCATTATAAATCATGACATATTTTGATAATTATATTATTTATATAATATATATCCTTATTTGGATATTTAATTATTTGAATTTAACGTTTTCTATTTTTATTATTATTTTTCTTTCTTCTCTATTGATCGTAATTTTTATATTTTTTTTTGTCTTTCTTATTTTATTGTTTTTCTACACAATCAAAATTCCAAGAAATTTAAATATTTAATTTTAAAGCTTTTCTAACTCAATCTTAGATTTCTCTATTTTTTACACTCACAATTTTTTTATTTTTTATCTTTCTCATGAAGAGTCTGTTCTTTATTTCAATGGTGCATAAAGCAAACAATTGTAATCGCATACACCCTTTCACATACACCCTTTCCATGCCTTATTTTGAGTGAGAGATCAAGAGGAAACATGAATATCTTTCCCTTTCTATTTCTTTCATTAAATTAAAAAAGTGAATTTAGCTTTGTATTCAAGGTACGTTGGCCAGTTTTTATGATTATGATTTAACGTGTCCATTAATCTATCTTAAATTAATAAAAAAAATATTATGGATAGTATTTTAAACATAACAAACAGAAAAGGTTCATTTATAAAAAATCGATAAATAAATCCATGATAAGATAAGATTTGCAAATCATAATAATTCAACAGCAAAAAAACACTCGATGAATGGTGCTAAAAGATCATAATAGCATAAAAATCGTGATATTGATTTTATAAAAAAAACATCACAAATAAGAAGGGATGAAAACTATACGGAAGGATATTGATTCTATAGAGAAAAATCACATCTTAAAATTAGTAGAATCACCTTAGAATAAAAACCACGTAACATTAAAATGGGTTTACCAAGTGAAAATAAATTACGAAGGAGAAATTGTGAGACACATGGTCAAATTTGTGTCAAAGGAATTTCTGCATAAGATCAGTAACAAAAATTGAGTTAAATAAAAATTGTTAACAAAAATTGAGTCAAATAAAAAATGTTTTTGAATATGAAGTGTATGTAAAATATTGGCACAACAATTTGAAGAAAAAAAAATTAATTGTAAGTTTATATATTGTAAGAAGTAGTGAGAATTTGATATCTCTATTCAAATCTTAAATGTTAAATCAGTTTAAAATAAGTAATCTAGAAAATCTCAATTACATTGGAAATTGAATTTTGCAAATTAGTTCAAGTATGTGCAGGATTTGTTTAGATTTAATATGCACCAAAGCTGTCAGAAAAACACCATTTGAAGTTAAAGGAAATAAAGAAAATGCAATTTCAATAGCTTTGCTTTATAATAATAATTACATAATTTAATATTATTAATCAAATTAAAATGCTTGATTCTAATCAAACAGATTTATTTCTTTAAAATTAAAATCCTATGAAAAAATATTTCTTTTTACGAAAGATGAACAAACTCGAACGTTCTTTTCACGAAGGATGAAATAAGTTGGAAGCAATCACAAATCAGACACTTTATCACGATCAAAACATAGATTGCAGCAAAACAAACACAACAATATTAACACAAAAGTCCAAACTAACAGCTCCAAAACAGAACATTGATAACCAGAAAAGAAACATTACAATCAAACATTGTTTTTGAGAAAAACGCTGGTGAGAACAGCCTTAGAGTCCAAAGAAGCTTTGAGCAGATTGACACCCTATTAAGAGAAAAAACACATCATCAATGAAAAAATAAATAATGCAGTAATGGCATATATAAGTGCAACATATAAATTTTCACCAAGACGTCATACTACTATTCAGTCAACATGTAATAGCAGTACCTATAATAAATCTAAAGGAAGAGTAAAGACCTGCATACCTGGGTCAATCCCAACTCAACCACCTTTTCTTGCAAGGCACCAACTTCTTTGATATTGAACTTGTTGAGTAATGTAATGCCTGATATGGTTGACATGGGTTCAATCATTAAATCATCCCTCACCATGTAAGTCACAACTCCTTGCACAAATCCATTCTTGTTGGGGAAAACATCTTTTACAATCTTTTTGCCAACATATATTATTTTAATGTTCATTCTACTCCTGCAACTTGGACAAAGAGTAGTATTATCGCATGTGACATTGTGACCACAGCGTTTACGACACATATAGAATGAAGCGTCCAAGTCGTCACCATCAGAGTAATCATTGAGAGAGTAGTCATTGGGAGGGAGAAGGTTAGCGACTTGTGGTGAAAAAAAAGGAACATTTGGCTTCAAGAGGACATCCTTTTGTTGCATATAAGTGTCACTCATATTTTCAACACTTTGATAGAGATTGGCCAAACAACCAACCATACCAGTTTTGTTGAGAAGCCTTATGACAGTGCCCAGAGGCAAGCAAAGCAAGTTAAAGAGGAAGTCTATGACCTCTTTTGATGTTTCAGCGAATAAGACTTTCTCTCTTTTGGTGTCGATAAGCAATTTCAGGGTCAGTTTGGTAGAAGAAGAAGAAGAGGTAGCCATGTTTAAAAAGAGCAAGAATGAAACACACAAACATACGGGGGCTTCTTTGGTTCATTTGAGTGTGAGAAGAATATATATAGACACAAGATAGGACAAAATGAGGAAAAAATAAGAGGAGGACAAAATTTACCTTCATGTAATTAATTTTGTAGAAAAAATAAGGTTGAAATTTGGAGGGGCAATTAACCATCATTGTGACGTTTTGGGTTCTCAAGATCACTAATTATTTTAACATATCAACCTTCAGAATTCCAACAAGAGAAAACACAGCACGTATCTTCAGTAGCAATCTGCTACGAGATATTGCATTATTACCTTCAGTGTCAGATGATAGAAAATCTTACAAGTAGACATAAGTGTGAAAAAGAATATTCAAGAATTGGTATTCAAGAAATACTATTATCATTTTACAAGTAGACATAAGTGTGAAAAAGAATTACAAGAATCTTACAAATGATAGAAAATACTATTATCATTTTATATTCAAGAATTATAATTTTTATATAAATAATATATCTTTTAAAAAGTATTCCAATAGATCAGTTATTAATTTATTTATCATGTTTATTTGTTTACTTTCCATTTAATAATGAATGATTAAAAGCAGAATATGATAGTTGGTTTCAAACAAATCTAGTGCCATATCATTCATTTTTCATTAGGTATGTTTGTCTTCTCTGCTCCCATTAAAATCTGAAAAATAGTTTTGGTTTATAATTCTAAGCTTAGTCATTTGGGTTTTTCTTTTCATTTATTTTGTTGACTTTGGTCAATGTTAAACTTGATTTTTCATTTTAAAATCACTTTTATTATCATATTTTAAATTATAATAATTATAATATTTTAAATTATAATAATAATTATTATAATAATAATAATATTAAATTATATATTAATATTAATACTAATAATTAATTTTAATTAAAATAAATATAATATTTTAAATAATAATAATTTTTATCAAAAAGATAATTTAATTTTCTTATAATTTCTTTTATTATATTTTTTTATTATTAAATCAATCAAATTACCCATGAACTTAATCCTCTTCATCTAATTAACTCTATTTTTATTTTATTTCCTTTCAAATCTATCATTTTCCATTTCTACTATTCCAATAGCAAACTCAACTATTTAAACTGACTCTAAAAAATACTGTTATTATTCGGTGATAAACTGAAATTGTCACTTTCTAAAATTTGAAATTAACAAATATTGGTGAAAACTATGTTTTATTATAAATATTCAATTTTACGTTATTATTTAATAAAATTTATTAAATATATAAAAATTATGTAATAATATTTACTATGTTTTGACATGTGATATGGGTGAAAACAAATATATACAAATATTTTAGAAATGGAAATCAACACTACATAAATCAATCATAACCATTAAATTTGCATTTGGAAACAGATAAAAAGGTGAACAGGTATTATTGATTGAATTCAACAATAACTTACAATATGAATGTTGTCAATGAACCACAAAGATCTAACATTTACTAACCCCCAGTTAGATAAACATGAGTTACATTCACAATAGTCTACACATGAACAGATGAATTACATTAAGTTTACCGAACAAAGCATGAGCCTGGACCAATAGGAACAGTCATAGCATTATAATTTGTGACAGGAGCAGCTGGAACCCCACGTCTATTCAAGAGACATCTGAAGTATTGCATCCTTTGCAAGGCAATTTCGCTAGCATGTCCTGAAGTATAATCTCTAGGACTCCACAAGCTTTCTATGGGAAACAAGTAATTGTTAATTTTGCATGATCGAATCCAGCAACCACATTTCTCAATCCTACCATCTTTTCCAATTTTCCCATAACTATATATAAATAATGAATAATAATGATAAAGTGAAGAGACATCCCTACATAATTCAAATCAATACCATACTCTGAATCCTCAAACAGTGATGGATGAAGCAAGCAATAAATAGTCAACACATGATGAGCCCTTTACATGTATTGGGTCTTTTCATGGGAGATTTCTAGGAAAAATAGACATGAGCCCGACTACATAAGTATTGAAACCACCTTAACCCAAAACTTTAAAATATTAACTTATGAAATCCTTATATGTTTAACATTTTTATTCTGAGTGAGAGAGACAGAGAGAGGAAAACTTGTTTTTGCTTTTCTATTTATTTCATTAAATAGAAGACTGAAATGACATCCAATTTTAATAATTGTACTCAAGGGTAAGTTGGTCAGTCCCAATGGTTATAGTTTATACATATACCTTTATGTATTTCAGATCTCTGTGTCATTTGTCTGATCCATTTCCAAAATTAGCAATTGCAGTTAGGAGAACAGATATTGCATATTCATAAGCGAAGATTATGCTTAAACAGTAAAACTAAGAAAACAGTAAAAGAATGGTGAACAACTTTGCATTAGCAATGCAGCTAACCTGCTGCTGCTGCTGCGCGAGGCCATAGTGTTTGCTGAATGTCTGAAGTATCAGCTGTTTCGCCCCACGTACAGACTTCTCCTCCAAGAACAAGTTTTTGCTCAGAAGCTTTGTGAATTCCTTCTAGTGGTTCAGCAGAATAGACAACTTCCCAAGGTACATTTAGATGGTTAAGATACCATACACCTTGGTTACTGAAAATACACCTGAAACCTTCTGCAACAGCCTTTGGACAAACCCCAGGACCCAACCTACAGTATTTACTTGGAATGCTTAATTCTGAAACTGAGATCATCTAATTTTTATATGAAAATAAAACTAATTAGAAATTCACCAGTTATGCACTACAGTCTGCGGATGGAGCTTAGTTGGAAAAGTATTGAAGGTTTCTTCCGTGAGCAATTAAACAGAAAAGGGTCAAATCTTAAAAACATGCTAACAATTTAAGAACATGATATGGTAAATAAATGGAAGTAATGTTTCAAAATTCTGTAGTTTATGTGCAGGCAAACTATTTCTGCCATTTGAAATACTAGCAAAGATATCATCAAGGATTAATTAAGGATATAACTGAGTTTTTATGCTATGATGCTATATACATAGATCATACCAGTTTACGGGGCTCCAATTTTTTGTAAGAGCTATGTTTTGAGCCTTTACTAAAAGTATTCATAGGCATCTTCAGCGGTCATGTTCTTCTTCTGAAGCCTGCATTAGAGATATAATCAGAACTGAACATTGTGCTTGATTGATTGACAATCAATCAAAAATTATTCAATATACAATCAATTAAATGACACATAGAAGTGTATAATCTGTGAATTAGAGAAAAATTATCCATAATTACGAACAAAAAGTTACCAGCAAAAATCAAGAACCATTTTACTTCCCAGATACCATTTCACAAATTTCTGACTTGGTTTTCAATTCCTATTTGAAGGAACAAAGGACCATGAAGATTTGCCCTCAACATGCAGTAATAAAAAAAAACGAGAGCTTTCAGCCTTCCACTTTTAGTTACAGCAGAATGCTGGCATATTTAAGGGCGTTTGCTTGGCTTTACATGTGTTGAAGTATGTTCATGACTTCTCTTTGGCATTATGCTCAGGTATGCTAGAAGGAAGTTGCTAATATGCAAAAAGATAGGGTAATTGTACTGCAATAGAATTTTCTGTTTAGAAGAATATCTTATCAACCCCCTAGTTGTATTTTTTCTCTTCTATTTCTGGCAAGTTCTCTTTTTCAATCAAAATATGGATACCATTTAAGTAACAACAATCTCAAGCAAGTCTCAGTTCCATAACATGGTAAAGAAAAACATAAAATTTGATTATATAAAAGACCTCTAGATGACCCAAATTGAAATAAAGTTTTTGGATGAATATTATGACAAAATACAGAATACATGGTATGAAAGACTTTCAAAAGTTAACTAAAATATTCACCCGAGGTGAAAACACACACATACATATATACACACCCACCCACACAGATATACATACACACTACACATGTGCCCGCACACCACACACACACATATATATATATAACAATCACTGGTTCAATACAATAATGAATTGAACTAAATTAACCTGTTCAGCAATGCTGGCTGCTTCAGCATATGCATCTTGAATATTCTCGGCAAGCCTGTGGAGGAATATATTCCATATTCCTCGTGCAGCAACAATAAATGGGCCTGTAGCTAATGTTATCAATGCAATCTGCCAACAATTGATAAAAGCAATAACAAGACCACTGAAGAATGTTGCCATATTATGAATATAATTCCCAACCTGTATCATCAAAAGTCAATACAAGCGATATGAAATGAGTTAGACATTTTTCTAGAAAGAATAACAAATTTACAAAGGAGTGAATACTGAATATACACACAACAAGAGCACCACGCACCTTTTCACTAAGGGCAGACTGAATGAGCAGCACGTCACTTAATACTTGACTCACAATGTCTCCATTATTTCCGCACGTATAAAAAAAACTCATATCTTGGTAACTAATACTTGGACATAATTTGATCTGATCACAGCAGTCTGCCGTTCTCCAATTAGAATCCAACATGAAACCTCTATTAAACAAGAAATATTAGTATTGAACAAAACTTAAATTAACATCTAATTAAGAAATACTCCTTGTAATCAATTTACCAACCCAACCGGCAGCAAAAACTCCACCAGCAATATAAACAATGGTTAAAGCAAGCTGCAGAAAAAACATTGATAAATAAGCATATAAGTCCATTTTTCACATCTTGTTTACGAACTATGTTCCTTGCAAAATAATTAAATTTGTAGTTATGATGGCATATGATTCAACCACTAATTAACCAATTCAAAACTATGAACATCCATGGCCTTGAGATTCCTGGTTGAAACTGATTTAAAACACAAACCTATGATGTAACTATTTCTCTTCTGCATAATTATTGTCAGTGCACCTTCTCAAAATTAATGTATTTGTAAAATGTTGACTGCTAGTGTGATGCAATGCAAGACACGCTAGCTTCAAGAAAGCCTAAGTTTAAAGATCAGGTTGCCTCAATGTAATATTATTTACTTACATTAATATTCCAAATAGGTATACTGTTAAATTTTAATTTTTTTATGCAACGTCTATTTTGCAAATTTTCTTAGTTAAATTCAGGCTTAGCTTATTATTTAGATGACATTGGTCTTTAATTTGATATCTTTCCCTATAGACCCCATCATACTAGGAAGTCTAAATCCTTGTTACAAGGACTGTATTCCGTATCCTTAGAGGCTAAGTCATAGGCATCCTATTTAAAAAAGTGTTTATGTTTTTCTCCTTAATAGAACTACTTTATTTATAGCACCTAAAAAGATAAATGAATGATCAGATTTATGAATAAAGGAAGAAATTGTTCCCTTTTAAGTTGTATACCTTTGCTATTCAATCAAACCCTAGGTGAAAAATGTCTATTGCTCAAGTTTTGCCCTCTACCCAGGACTTAGTTTCCTTGGAAAACAGAAACAAAATAATTCATCCCATCAATACCCCTGACCAATCCTCGTTTGAACTTGCCCCAACACCCTTCATACATCCATGTAAAAAAAAAAAGTTACTGTTCAAAGCTTACAAATATCCAGAGAACTGTCCCTAAAATCCCTTTGCATACCCAAAATGTTGCCCTGCCTTTAACATAACCCCAATGAAACTTTTAACAACAACTTATGTAAACTTGAAATCAGAAGGAAGAGATACTTTAAATAGCAGCTTTAGGTCTCAAATCCAACCAATAGGTGTCATGCTCCTGGAGAATCTTATCAGTCACCAGGTGGACAACCCAGGCTCTAATTGCCCACCCTAATCAATCTCTTTAGATTCTTAACACTTTTTCTCATACTAGACAAATAAACTTCCAGCATCACTCTTCAAATGTTAAAGTAATAAAACCGTCTAACACCACAAAAAAAGTAAATGTATACCAACACGCAGGTTAATTCTGTTAATTCTGAGGACATGCTCAACACTTGTGCCAGGTTGGCAATGTTGAGTTTGGAACCCTAACAGAGAGTCATCATGCCCCCGATGACTTGGGTGATCCACGAATTACAGGACCAAAAACCTTATAGAAAGGAAAATAAACTAATTAGAGCAGATAGAACTAAGCTATACTTAATGTAGTCGGGTCGGCTTTCAATGAAAGCTAATAGCTCAATTACCTCAAACAACACGGCAACCAAGGCCATAAAAAACTACAAAAACTAATAGCACAGTAAACAGGACTTAATTTCACTGCCTAAGGCAAGCAAAATCAAATTATCCGAAACTAATTAAAATCCAGAAGCAGCGTACACAACAAAGGGTTTCGATAGAAAACGAAACAAAATCGAACCTCCTTGAACCTCTGAAACTGCTCTTCCGGCAAACCCTGTTGAGGAACCCAAGAACCTTGGCGAAGTAGTGCAAGTAAACGACGAGAGCGGTACCGTGCACGGCGGCGGCGGCGAGGGAGCCGAGATGAGAAACCAGTCGAGGCGGTCGGAGCAGGCGAAGAGGCGGGAGAAAGGAACGGCGGCGGGCGGCGGCTCAATTTCCTCAGCCTCCTCCTCGACTTCCATCGGCTGCGACGCGGAGGTCTCGGCGTCAAGGTCGAGGTACGGCGACGGCGACTCCGGCGGCTCCGACACCTCGGATACAGGCGTGAGAGGCTGTATGTGCGGTGGGGACCATCCGAACAGCCCCGAGAAACCATCGTATCTATGACAGCAACACCACCAACTAACTCTCCTTGACGAAGAATTGGAAAACAGATCGCACCCGAATTCAGAGCGCGAGCTCCTTTCTCTCTTCTGTCGAAGAAACGACGACGTATTGAACGCCGTCGAGGAGGTTGTGACATGTGAGGTGGCGGCGCGTGGTTTGACTCGGTCAAAAAAGAGGTACAATTTCTTCCTTTTATGTTTACGACCCTTCTTCGATTCTTTTTCTTCTCCTTTGCTTTCTTTTCTTTCTTTCTTTTTTTAATTGAAGTTTTGTTTCGAAGAAAATATAATAATAATAATAATAATAATACGATTACAGCGACTGTGTGCTGTGAAATTGTGATGACATGCAATGCAGCAGAGCTGGAAAAAAGAAAGAGAGGGTGTTTTGGTAAATTCAAAGGCTATGATGCGTTGGTAAATGTTTTAGATCCTATGCCCTGAAATTACGTTGAGGCCCTCATGAGAGTCGTTGCGGTGACACGCGTTAAGTGCTGGTACGCTTATTCTTTTTTCTTAATAATTAATTTAATATATAAATAAAATTAAATAACAAAATGAATTAAAAAATTGAGAGACTTTTTCAACCTAATAGTTAATACAATATAATTTATTCATGACCAAAATATCTAAGACAAATAAGTATTTAAGTTTTTTTTTTTAATCAGTAGCGGAAGAAGCCTTTTGCATCAAAGGGACCAAAAGGTCTTTCCATCAGTCAGCGGAGAAGTAAAAAACATGTTGAAGTAGTTTTTTTTACCAGACTGCTGATAATGTCACAACCAAAAATCATACAATGTTTTAAGTAATTCATTTTTATTAATATAATATTTTATAAAATAATTTAATAAAAATAAAGTAAAATTATTATTATAATAGGATTTTTATTAATATAATATTTTATAGAATGATTTAATTAAAATAAAATTAATATTATAATATTAAAAGAGAATTGTTTATAAAAATTGTATGAATTTATACGATGAAATATATTTTCCTTTGTATTAAGAACAAAATTGCCACGGAGCATGAAGAAATCATATTAAGAAGTTGAGCGAATCATTGATTCTGTTTTCTTTATAAATATAGATTTTAATTATATTAAAAATATAAATTATTATTCTTATCTAGTTAAATATAGATATTGAATTATTATAAAAATCAGAGTATTCGGATTTTCACGAAGAATCTGAGAATTGAATAGTTTAAAATCCCCGATATGAAGTTAAAGGCTAAATCTATATATATTTATAGATTGTTGGTTCAAAATGGAGAAACCAAAAACTTTACACTAAAAAATCAGACATGATCAACATTTTGTAAATCAATTTAAACTCCTAGATCATATGTTGTTCTGGAGAAAAACACTATTGTCAACACCTTCTTCGACTGCAGAGAAGCCTTTAGCAGACTCAAACCCTGATTATAAAACATAATAAAAAAAATAAAAAAAAACGAAAACAACTAATTCATTTTATAAAATGATTAATCAATGTTTAATTTAAATGGCAGTTTTGAAACTTGCAGGGAAGACATCATATACATATATCTGAGCCATCTCCAAGTCAACAACTTTTTCTTTCAAGTCCCTAACTTCTTTGACATTCAACTTGCTGAGTAATATAATGGTTGATATGGTTGGCATGGGTTTAATCACTAAATCATCCATCACCATGTAAGTCACAACCTCTTTCACAAACCAACTCTTCTTGGGAAAAACATGTTTTTTGCAACCTCGTCACCAACAAAACTCATTGAAGTGTTCATAGTATATGAGCAATACTCCACTAGACAACGATTCTGGTTGTCACTTGTGACGTGACTACTGTGATTTGAGCACCTGTAAAATTTTGTGGTTCCCAAGTTTTTGCTAGAATTATCATCATTTGAAGGAAGAAGACCTGATATTTGTGGCGAAGAGATGTGTGCTATTGGTTTCAGGAGAAGATCCTTATGTTGGTCTGGTTGCATGTAAGATTGATCCAGATTTTCAACACTTTGATAGAGATTACCTAAGCAACCAACCATGTAATTCTTGTTGCATGTATTGAGAGGCAAACAAAGCAAGTTAAAGAGAAAATCTACCACAAGCTTTGATGCTTCTGCGAACAGAACTTTCTCACCTTTTGAGTCAATAAGCAACTTCAGAGTCAATTTGGTGGAAGAAGATGCCACATTTGAATTTGGAATTTTAATCAAGGTTTCTTCCTTTCATTATTTCATTGGTTATTAACTATTCCAGTAAAGAAAACGGCATGTACTAGGAAGAAAGAAAAGAAATATACTTTCAAAATGAGACAGCCAAATTCTCTCAAAAAGATTTTCTTTATTCTGTATTCCTTAAGAAAAAAAAATATATAGATAACTAGACCAAAACGTATATATTTCAAAAGCATCTATTTTTAGATTATATATATATATATATATATATATATATATATATATATATATTCTTTAAAAAAATCAAGATTAATAGAACTAGACAATGTATTATATGTCTAAGAATACAAAATTACCTAACATCGTTTTTCTTAACGTTGTGGAATGTTTATTTTGATCTTTGCTATGATGAGATGATCCTTCTAAAATATACAGAGGTTAAACGAATGCACGGTAGACGTGCAAAATTAATAGCAGACAAAAAAACAAAGAAAATGTAATTTCAATAACTTTGCTTTATAATAATAAATACATAAATTAATATTATTAGTCAAATTAAAATGCTTATTCTATTAAACAGATTTATTTTTTTTAAATTAAAACCCTATGAAAGAATACACGCATGTTGATTACTTTTTAAATTATACAAGTCGCGTAACAATGATAAAAACCCTCTTCAACTCAGAAAGCAAAGCATGAACAAACTCGCAGGTTCTTCTTATAAAGATGAAATAAGTTGGAAGCAACACAAATCAGACACCTAATCACGATCATAACATAGATTGTAGCAAAACAAGCACAATAATATTAATACGAAAATCCAAACTAAAAGGGAAAATCCAAACTAAAAGCACTAAAATACGAAAATCCAAACTAAAAGCACTGAAACAGAACATTGATAATCAGAAAACAAACGTTACAATCAAACATTGCTTTTGAGAAAAACACTGGTGAGAACAGCATTGGATTCCAGAGAAGCTTTGAGCAGATTGACACCCTATTAATAGAAAAATACATATCACCAATGAGAAAACTAATACTGCAATAATTGAAGTGCAACGAATATAATTTTAAAGGAGAGTTAACATCTACATACCTCGGTCATTCCCAACTCAACCACCTTTTCTTGTAGGGCACCAACTTCTTTGACATTCAACTTGTTGAGTAATGTAATGGTTGATATGGTTGACATGGATTCAATCACTAAATCATCCAACACCATATAAGTCACAACTGCTTGCACAAATCCATTCTTGTTGGGTAAATCATCTTCTGCAATCTTTTTATCAACATACTGCATTTTTGTGTTCATATTACTTCAACTGGAACAACGAGTCTTGTTATCGCATGTGACTTTGTAACCACAACGATTTTGACACGTATAGAACGAAGCGTCCAAATTGTCACCATCAGACTTACCATCGGGAGAGAGAAGGGAAGTGACTTGGTGTGACGAAAAGGGAACTTTTGGCTTCAAGAGGACATCCTTTTGATGGTTTTGTTGCATGTAAGTGTCACTCATATTTTCAACACTTTGATAGAGATTGGCCAAGCAACCAACCATACCAGTTTTGTTGAGAAGCCTTATGACAGTGCCCAGAGGCAAGCACAGCAAGTTAAAGAGGAAGTCTATGACCTCTTTTGATGTTTCAGCGAATAAGACTTTCTCATTCTTAGTGTCGATAAGCAATTTCAGGGTAAGTTTGGCAGAAGAAGGACAAGAAGCCATGATGAAAAGAGGGAGACAAAGACAGCGATGGGTACTTTAGGGTTTTGGGTACATGTAGCTTTTATAAAAAGTATATATAATACTTCCTCGACTATGTAATTTTATTAATATAATTTATATAAATAGAATAAAAATATTTTTAATAGTAAATATAATTAATATTTTAATTATAATTAATTAAATAAAAAAATAACATAATTTTCTTATTTTATTTTAAAAAATAAAAAATATTGTAATATCTAATTTAAAATAAAAATATTTTAATATATAATTTAAATAAAAGTTATATTTATTCTGAATTTATTGAAATAGATTTAGGTTTAAGAAGAAAATTTGATTAGTTGAAAAAATTTATGACCTAAATCCAATCAAATCAATTTTATTTTTATCTATTAATTCAATGATTTATGTGAAATTAAATTAGAATTATAAATTAATTTAATAAAAAATTTACTTATACTAAAAATAATAAATAAAAGAGCAAATTTTAATAATAGAATAATTAAGATAAATTATTAAAAAATAATAATGATAATAAAGATATTTCTTTATCTTTTATTTTAAAATAAATGAATATTTTTTATAATTTATATATTAAATTATTATATTTAAAAAAATATTTTATTAATATAATATAAATTTTAAAAATATATTTTATTTTAAAAAAATTATATTTATTATTATTTATTTATTATTTTCAATCATATTAAAATTAGCTCATTAACTTGATTTAACATAGGAAACTAAAAATTATAATTTTTTTAAAATATATGATAGATTAAACCATTGTATTATAATTAAACGAGACTGTATATTTTGATAATTATATTATTTATATAATATATCTCCTTTTTGTAAATCTAATTATTTAAATTTAACATTCTTTATTTTTCTTATTATTACTTTTTTTAATATAGAAAACTAAAAATTATAATTTTTTTAAAATATATGTTAGATTAAACCATTGTATTACAATCAAACGAGACTGTCTATTTTAATAATTATATTATTTATATAATATATCTCCTTATTGTAATATCTAATTATTTAAATTTAACATTCTTTATTTTTATTATTATTATATTTCTTTCTTATCTTTTGAACGTAATTTTTATAATTCTTTTAAGTGAAAACACATCTTCATTTTATTTTATTTATCTTTTATTTACAAAAAATATTGTAAGATTGAGAAGTATCTTTTTAGAATACCTCTTCTTTATTTTTTATTTTATCTTTCTTTATTTTATTATTTTTCTACACACACAAAATCATAAGAGATTTAAATATTTAATTTTATATTTTTTAACTCAATCTTAGATTTCTCTATTTCACACTCACAATTTTTTTACTTTTTATCTTTGTGATTAAGATTCAGTTCTTTATATTTTAAGAATTCGAACCCTTCTCTCAAAATGACTCAATTCCATGCAACATTTTTCAATCCTAGCTTCTTTTCCAATTTTCTCAAAACTATGTATAAACAATGAATAATAATGATAGAGGGAAGAGACATCCCTGCATCATAAGTCAAAACAAAGACAGATTTTTAGACATACTCATGTACCATACTCTCAATCCTCAAACAGTGGTGCATGAAGCAAACAATAATAGTGATCACATGAACCCTTTACATGCCTGATTTTAATGAGAGAAAAAGAGGAAATTTGTCTTTTATCTTTTCCTTTACCTTTCTATTTCTTTTATTAAATAGAAAAGTGAAGTGACATTCAATTTGAATAATTGTACTCAAGGTAGCTCGGCATGTCTTTATGGTTATAGTTTGTAAATATCTCTTTACATATTTTAAATATTTGTCTGTTAATCTATCTTAAATTAATAAAAAAAATATTATAGATAATATTTCAAATATGTAAATAGAAACTATTGGTTTATAAAAATCAAAATTCATGGTAAAATAAGATTTATGGTTGATAGTAGTTTGTCAACAGAGAGTACTCGAATAATGATGCTAAGAGATCATGATGACATAAAAATCATGATTGAAGAGGTATTATATGTACCTTAGTTGAAAACAAATTTATTCTTGGATCAGTTACTGCAAAAAGGATTTTCTATAACAATAGAAGATAATTGTTTCACTATATTTTATAAAAACAAGAAGTTGGTTATTCAAGCTAATTTGTCCCAGAGAAAACAATTTTTCAAGTTGGGATGAATACATTGAAGTATTAGTGTTTTTTCAAGTTGGGATGAATACATTGAAGTATTAGTGTTTTAGCACATCAGATAGTGGAACAAAATAGTTGTGAGATCTTCGTTATGAACATCTAAATTTAGATATTTGTGAACCAATACAGATTGAAACCCCTGAAGGCAGCAAGCATTTAATTTCATTCCTTAATGATTTGACTAGAAAAATGTGAATATACTTATTAAAAAGAAAAAATGAGGTACAATATGTCCTTAAGAAGTTTAAATGCATGGTTAAAAAACAAAGTGGAAAACATACTAAGGTTTAAAGAACTGATGATGAAGTTCAATATACCCTCAACAAAATTCAATAAATTATATGAGAATTAAAATTTATTACATGTGATCACACCTCTTTACACACCCTAACACAACGACGTAAATGAGAGAAAAAATAAAATTTTCTTAAATATGGTAAGGTGTATGTTAAAGAGTAAAAACCTACAAAACTACTTATGGAAAGAGTTTGTCTTAACAACCACATACATCTTAAATAGCTCTCTCACTAAAAGGCTAGATGGTATCACACCTGAGGAAGCATGAACTGAAGTCATATCAGATGTCACTCACATGAAAATATTTTGTTCTCTTTGTTATAAACATGTTCTTGATCAGTTGAGAAGAAAGTTAAATGACAAGGAGATTCTACTCATTCTAATTGGCTATCACTCAACAGGATGATATAAGTTGCTTGATCCAGAGATAGGCTAGGTTTCAATCAGCAGAGATGTGATAGTTGATGAAACATCAAGTAGGAACTAGAAATCAACCCTTCGAAAATCAACATAATATCAAATTCTACTGGATGGAGAGTCTGCAATCGTGCAAACAAATTTTGATGATTAAGTAGTGTGTGTGAGAAGATCATCCAGAACAACTTAGTGGTCATCTCATTTAAGGGATTATGAATTGTTCCAAGATTCAACATTTACCTCTAAAGGGAATTTGATTCATTTTGCACTTGTTGTCGAGACTGAACCTATTGAATTTTAGAAGACTATCACAGATAAGAAGTGGTGGAAGGCTATGCAGGAAGAGATTGATTCTATAGAGAAAAATCGCACCTGAGAATTGGTAGAACCATCTTAAAATAAAAAACATATAACATTGAAGTGGGTTTACAAGGTGAAAGTAAATCCAAAAGGAGAAACTATGAGGCACAAGGTCAAACTCATTGTAAAGGGGTTTCTGCATAAGGTAAGAATTAACTATGGAGTAGTAGATGCACTAGTAACAAGAATTGAGATAATTCGTGTTGTAGTCTCACTTGCGACAAATGTTAATTAGTTTATGCATCAATTACATGTTAAATCTACTTTTGTCAATGGTCCACTTGAGGAGGAAGTATATATACTATAGTCACAAGGATGTGAGATTAGAGAGCAAGAACACAAGATATATAAGTTAAAAAGGCCTTCTACGAACTCAAACTAGCTCCAAGGGCTTGGAATTGACAATTTTCTGAGTCAAACTAACTTTGAAAAGTGTTTTTGAATATGGAATGTATGTGAAATATTGGCACAACAGTTTGAAGACAGAAAAATTAATTATAAGTCTATATGTTGATAACCTAGTAAGAATTTGATAACTCATTCAAGTCTAAAATGTTAAATGAGTTTGAAATAAGAGATTTAGAAAAACTCAATTTCTTTTGGGAATTGAGTTTGCAAGTTGTCATGCATTAATCCAAATATGGACAGGATTTGTTAACCAAATTTAATATGTACCAAAATAATGCAACAAACACACCAGTTAAAGTTAGACTGAGATTAGAGAAGAAAACATATAAAAAATTAATAGATCTTACTATTATCAAAAAGATTGAAGTATTTGTGCAATATAATACCAAATTTGAATTATTATGTTGATTTGATAAGTAGATACATGTAAGACCTAGAACAGTTTCATATGAATATTACTAAAAAGGATAATAAGATATCTACAAGACGCAATCGATTTTAAAAAGAAATTGAAAATAATTATATACTTAGATTCAAACTAGTGTGAGGATAAAAATAAAAAAAATATTAAATACCAATTTTATGAAACTTTACAAATAAAAACATGTAATAAGTCTCACAATACCTTATAACATCTAAAGTAGCATATCAAGTATATTAAGTTTTCTAATAAAAAAATTGAAGGTAAAATTAAAAAACAAAAAAAAAAACTTTTAGTGATTCATTCGATAAGTCATCTATAAAACTTCTAGACAACAAACCAATAATTAATTCGATAAATCATCCATATTTTCAGGAATGAAAAAAATACATTAAGGCTAAACTTTACTTCTTCAATTAACTATTTTCTAAAATTTTAAAAAATCCAAGATTTAAGATTTTATCAATTATTTGTAAATATGATTTTGTTTTTCAGGCTTTATATATATATACATATATATATATATATATATATATATATATATATATATATATATTTTGTATTCTTTGTTGAGGTTTTTTTTTTTAATGTTATTGGTACATTGTTACTTATACTTGTGTTATGCTGAGAAAATGAAGTTAATTAAATTCATATTGATGCATTTTGAATTTAGAATTTGAATCAAGATTTCCATTTTTTGTTTTATTGGATCTTAATTACTCCAGTGAGCAAAACGACATGTATGAACAAATAAGAACAAAAAAATATAATCACTGTATATTTCAAAATGAGACGGCGAAATCGTCTCAAGAAATTTAAATTATTTTTTTATCTTTAATTTAACTTTCCATTTGTTTAATAATATGAAAAAATTAAAATATATTTTTCATTAAAATTTCTTATATAAAACGTATTTATATTTCATGATCTCTCAATTAAATATTTCAAGTAAACAACCATCTTAAATATATAAGATAATACATTCAGAAAATAAATAAATAAATAAAATATAAACAACTAGAACTAGATCAAAACCGATATATTTCAAAAACATATCTTCAGATAGAAAAAAAAAAAACAAACACAATAATATTAACACAAAAGTCCAAACTAATTAACAGCTCCAAAACAGAACATTGATAACCAGAAAAGAAACATTACAATCAAACATTGTTTTTGAGAAAAACGCTGGTGAGAACAGCTTTAGAGTCCAAAGAAGCTTTGAGCAGATTAACACCCTATTAAGAGAAAAAACACATCATCAATGAAAATATAAATATTACAGTAATGGAATACATAAGTGCAACATATAAATTTTCACCAAGACGTCATACTACTATTCAGTCAACATGTAATAGCAGTAACTATAATAAATCTAAAGGAAGAGTAAAGACCTGCATACCTGGGTCAATCCCAACTCAACCACCTTTTCTTGCAAGGCACCAACTTCTTTGATATTGAACTTGTTGAGTAATGTAATGCCTGATATGGTTGACATGGGTTCAATCATTAAATCGTCCATCACCATGTAAGTCACAACTCCTTGCACAAATCCATTCTTGTTGGGGAAAACATCTTTTACAATCTTTTTGCCAACATATTTTATTTTACTGTTCATACTACTCCTGCAACTCGGACAAAGAGTAGTGTTATCGCATGTGACATTGTAACCACAGCGCATAGGACACATATAGAATGAAGCGTCCAAGTCGTCACCATCAGAGCAATCATTGGGAGAGAAATCAATGGGAGGGAGAAGGTTAGCGACTTGTGGTGAAGAAAAAGGAACATTTGGCTTCAAGAGGACATCCTTTTGTTGCATATAAGTGTCACTCATATTTTCAACACTTCGATAGAGATTGGCCAAGCAACCAACCATACCAGTTTTGTTGAGAAGCCTTATGACAGTGCCCAGAGGCAAGCAAAGCAAGTTAAAGAGGAAGTCTATGACCTCTTTTGATGTTTCAGCGAATAAGACTTTCTCTCTCTTGGTGTCGATAAGCAATTTCAGGGTCAGTTTGGTAGAAGAAGAAGAAGAGTGAGCCATGTTGAAAAAGAGCAAGCGGTAGAATGAAACATACAAAATATACGAGGGCTTCTTTGATTCATTTGAGTGTGAGAAGTATATATATATATAGAGAGAGAGAGGATAAAATGAGGAAAAATAAAAACAGGACAAAATTTACATTTATCATGTAATAAATCTTGTAGAAAAAACAAGGTTGGAATTTGGAGGGGCAATTAGTCATCATTGTGACGTTTTGGGTTCTCAAGATCACTAATTATTTCAACATATCAACTTCAGAATTCCAACAAAGAGAAAACACAGCACATATCTTCAGTGGCAATCTGCTACGAGATCTTGCATTATTACTTTCAGTGTCAGATGATAGAAAATCTTACAAGTAGACATAAGTGTGAAAAAGAAAATATTATTATCTTTTTATAGATATTAAGAATTTTTTTTAATAAGAATTCTTAAATTTTATATTCAAGAATTAGAATTTTTATATAAATAATATATCTTTTAAAAAAGTATTCCAATAGATCAGTTATTAATTTATTTATCATGTTTATTTGTTTACTTTCCATTGAATTTGATTTAAAATGCAAGGATAATGAATGATTAAAAGCAGAATATGATAGTTGGTTTCAAACAAATCTAGTGCCAGTCCTATTGTTCATTTTTCATTAGGTATATGTTTTCTGTGCTCCCATTAAAATCTGTAAAACAGTCTTGGTTTATAATTCTAAGCATAGTCATTTGGGTTTTTCTTTTCATTTAATTTGTTGACTTTTGTCAATGTTAAACTTGATTTTTCATTTTAAAATCACTTTTATTATCATATTTTAAATTATAATAATAATTTTTATTATAATAATAATAATAATAAATTATATATTAATATTAATACTAATAATTAATTTAAATTAAAATAAGTATAATATTTTAAATTATAATAATAATTAATAATTTTTATCAAGATAATTTAATTTTCTATAATATCTTTTATTAAAAGTTTTTATTATTAAATCAATCAAATTACCCACGAACATAATCCTCTTCATCTAATTAACTCTATTTTTATTTTATTTCCTTTCAAATCTATCATTTTCCATTTCTACTATTCCAATGGCAAACTCAACTATTTAAACTGACTCTAAAAACATACTGTTATTATTCAGTGATAAATTAAAATTGTCACTTTCTAAAATTTGAAATTATTAAATATTGGTGAAAACTATGTTTTATTATAAATATTCAATTTTACGTTATTATTTAATAAAATTTATTAAATATATAAAAATTATGTAATAATATTTACTATATTTTGACATGTGATATGGGTGAAAACAAATATATACAAATATTTTAGAAATGGAAATCAACACTACATAAATCAATCATAACCATTAAATTTGCATTTGGAAACAGATAAAAAGGTGAACAGGTATTATTGATTGAATTCAACAATAACTTACAATATGAATGTTGTCAATGAACCACAAAGATCTAACATTTACTAACCCCCAGTTAGATAAACATGAGTTACATTCACAATAGTCTACACATGACATGAACAGAGGAAGTACATTAAGATAAGTTTACTGAACAAAGCATGAGCCTGGACCAATAGGAGCAGTTCTAGCATTATAATTTGTGACAGGAGCAGCTGCAACCCCACGTCTATTCAAGAGACATCTGAAGTATTGCAACCTTTGCAAGGCAATCTCGCTAGCATGTCCTGAAGTATAATCTCTAGGACTCCACAAGCGTTCTGTGGGAAACAAGTAATTGTTAATTTTGCATGATCGAATCCAGCAACCACATTTCTCAATCCTACCATCTTTTCCAATTTTTCCATAACTACATATAAACAATGAATAATAATGATAAAAGTGGAGAGAGATCCCTGCATAACTGAAATCAAAGACAGATTTTTTTAGTCGTACTCTTGTACCATACTCTGAATCCTCAAGCAGTGATGCATGAAGCAAGCAATAGTCAATACATGATGAGCCCTTTACATGTGTTAATCTTTTCGAGAGAGTTTCTCATCAAAAATATAATTAATAAGACGTAAATCCAATTCCCATAAAAATTGAAACCACCTTTTTAACTTAAAATATTAAATTGTAAGCCAAACATTTGTTACTTAACCTTTTTTATTCTTTGTCATGAGTGAGAGAGACAGTGAGAGGAAAACTTGTTTTTGCTTTTCTATTTATTTCATTAAATAGAAGACTGAAATGACATCCAATTTTAATAATTGTACTCAAGGGTAAGTTGGTCAGTCCCAATGGTTATAGTTTATACATATACCTTTACATATTTCAGAACTGTGTCATTTGTCTGATCCATTTCCAAAATTAGCAATTGCAGTTCGGAAAACAGGTATTGCATACTCATAAGCGAGGATTATGCTTAAACAGTAAAACTAAGAAAACAGTAAAAGAATGGTGAACAACTTTGCATTAGCAATGCAGCTAACCTGCTGCTGCTGCTGCGCGAGGCCATATTGTTTGCTGAATGTCTGAAGTATCAGCTGTTTCGCCCCACATACAGACTTCTCCTCCAAGAACAAGTTTTTGCTCAGAAGCTTTGTGAATTCCTTCTAGTGGTTCCGCAGCATAGACAACTTCCCAAGGTACATTTAGATGGTCAAGATACCATGCACCTTGGTTACTGAAAATACACCTGAAACCTTTTGCAACAGCCTTTGGACAAACCCCAGGACCCAACCTACAGTGTTTACTGGAATACTTAATTCTGAAACTGAGATCATCTAGTTTTATATGAAAATAAAACTAACTAGAATTCACCAGTTATGCACTACAGTCTGCGGATGGAGCTTAGTTGGAAAAGTATTGAAGGTTTCTTCCCTGAGCAATTAAACAGAAAAGGGTCAAATCTTAAAAATATGCTAACAATTTAAGAACATGATATGGTAAATAAATGGAAGTAATGTTTCAAAATTCTGTAGTTTATGTGCAGGCAAACTATTTCTGCCATTTGAAATACTAGCGAAGATATCATCAAGGATTAATTAAGGATATAACTGAGTTTTTATGCTATGATGCTATATACATAGATCATACCAGTTTACGGGGCTCCAATTTTTCGTAAGAGCTATGTTTTGAGCCTTTACTACAAAGTATTCATAGGCATCTTCAGCGGTCATGTTCTTCTTCTGAAGCCTGCATTAGAGATATAATCAGAACTGAACATTGGGCTTGATTGATTGACAATCAATCAAAATCGTGGAACACCATGCTTAATTTTCTGGAAATTTGACCAACGTCATAATGCTCAAAACTAAAACTTGAGTGGCTGAAAAGAAAAACGACGGGAGGATAAATTCTTATACATGCTTCACAAGCACATAATCCCAAAAGGTTCAGCTGATTTCTGAAGTGTGACAACTGACGTGACTTGAATACAGCAATTGCAATCCCTTCTGAAATACTTTTTTCCCCCTAAGATTCGAAGAGTCAAATAAAACAGCTACTTTCTAAGTTGAAGTTCATATTTTGAGTTTCCACAGCATGATAACTCAATGCCTTTACTGCCCTAGCCCACAAAAAGTAATCTTTTATAATGTAATAAATGTGCCTAACAGGTTAAGATTTGTACCATTTATGCACTGCAGAAGTATTAGTCCAGCAATCTGTCAAAATAAAATGCAATTACTTATCAGTTGGCACTGATACAAAATAGCTCAAAAATCACACCAGACCAAAGTCTACTTTCTATTATAATTATTATAAAATGTTTTGAAGCCAGTACTACCTCACATGGTGATACACATTTTAACAATATAATGGGCAAATCAAAAGTGCATATCTTATGTGCTTCTACTGTTTTTACTTTTTATCCAATTAAAATGAAATTTTTTCCTCAATAACTTATGCATTAAAAGTGAAGAGTAGAGGTTGGTGCCAATTATCGACATAAAACGCCAATTTAAAGCTTTTAGGTCCAGATGCGAGAAGTAAGACATGCATACCAACCTGTATTCACTTCATCACCCCCTAAGTGAAATAGTTCAAATGGGAATATTTTTCTCATATCTGCAAAATTTAGAAAAGGAAAGAAAGATATTTTTTTAGATCAGTGTACATAATAGGGGAAGATATGGGCATAACCCGGGATGGTCAAAGGGTGTGGTTTTGACAAACTCCATAATACTGCTATTTTTGCAAGATTGAGCCAAGGACAAGGTAAAGTGGAAGAAGATATAAGCTAAATATAGTGATGCGTGTTTTATAGGAACTTAACCTGTTAGAATACCAGACAGGACATCAAAAGTAAACTTCTTCGAAACATCTAGTGGCTGATTACAGGAGGGTGATGGCCAAAGATCAGGATATCCAACACCCCTAAACAGAAATGAAGAACAGAGAAACCTTAATTATTTCTGCTCTGCAAAATTTGTCAGTAGAAATATTAAATTTTTGAAAAATGTGTAAAATAAATGGATCAATGCCTAAATAAAACTTTTCAAAAGTAGTGTTTGACATCAATGCATAGAAATCTATTCGGAGCAAAATTTGATAAATAGCTGCATCCATTCCATAGCTAGAAAGCTTCAACTTTTCTTTGGTAAACATAAGAATTTCTTGAAAGAAATATCTATAGCAAATAGGAAAAGTAAAAGAAACTTCGTGGTTTTCATGCAGCATCATTTTCAAGGCATTATTATAAGTTTATAAATCTACCAGAATATTATCTTTAGAAAATATATGACATGACATAAGCTTTTTACCATGATGCTGCATGACCAGGGACATCCACTTCCGCCATCACATTTATGCCTGTGATAAACCAAGCAGATACTCATTATTATTTTGCAGGAACTGAGAAAGATGGGAGGCATAAAACGCACAGAAAAAAAAAAAAAAAACATAAATCATGACCTAAAATTCAAAATACTATGAATATTATGAAGCAGAAACTTCAAACGGATTTTAAGATACCTTACCTCTCATTTTGGAAAAGCTTTATATAGAGGAAAAGTGAAACATGAAAAGAGAACACAGTATTAGTACGGACTACATTAAGAAAGCCAACTCAAAGATGGTAACTGGAAAGTAACAATTTAATAAAAGGCATAGATCAATTGATCATTATTTCTATGATCATATCAAAGACTTGACAGGTAAGTTTTACTTTTTTCAACTTGTTCCCGGTGGTAAATCCCCTTCCCATTCTGAAGAAGCAGAAAATAAATTTTGGATGATTTAAGAAAAATTAAAGCTTCTATATTGGTAGGAGATGAATAGGGTGAGTCTTACTTGACAATTTCATGTGCATCCTCTATCGTGTAACGCTCCCAATTTGAGTATGAACCTTTCCACAAATTTGGATAAGTAGGTACTTCAAAAGGAAATGATTGCTCGTCTATGATGTGCCAATGTAGAACATTCTACCGAGCATTACACGAAACAAAGTAAGCATGGTATGCTAGTTAGGAATTAGGATACACTTGTTTTCTTTCCAACTGTCTTGAACAGCCGAGTGGTAAGGAAAGTAAATTTATGACTTTAATCTTACAAGTTTAGCATAGGACATAGATTCAATTATCTGCTTAATTACAATAACCGGTAAATAGTGCCTTGCTGTATCTGCAAAATAAATTTAAAAAAAAAAAGCGTCAATAAAACCTCAGAACATAGCACATAAACACTTTCAGAATGTAGACTTCTCTCATTTGCAAAATCTTGACTCACCCAACATAAGCCCACGGTATTGAAATCTAGGTTTATCTCGGATGGACCAAGGTGCCTTGTGTATTTGTACATTTTTAGTGGTATAATCAAAAGAACACAACTGGCTGAATGTCTGGTGCATCACAGATTAAAAGAGAAAAAAAAAAAAAAAATTAAGGAAATAGGTCACGCAAAACATAACAAGTTTGACAATCTTACATGAGGTAGTGCTTCCTGTGTGCCACAATGCATGTTGAGAAACAAATAACAATCATAGTTAAGTTTTAATTTTCAAGGTAAAATAATATCTGATAAAATCTTGAAGTGACTTAATGTCTATAAACCAATAGTTAACTTATACATGCTAATGTTAGTTCATAATTTCACAGATTAAGAGTGACAAGAACTGCGTTCTTTCGAACTGCTGACATCTTGCCCATTAGACATGGACAGAACAGATTACAGATTTTGCCAATCATATGGAAAAGAGCACAAATCTAAATTATGAAAAATAAAGATTGCACACAAAATTTAATAGTTATCTAAAAGAGTAAAAATCATAATTTATCCAGAAATATCCAGTATCCCCAACTCCTTTTATCCCTCCGTTCTGGCTGAACAGCGAAAAGGGCAAGGGAGAAAAAGTTTGACTGAATTGAGTTGAAAACTCTATACATACCTCTAATCCACGCAATGCACCAAAAACAGTATTTGCCTACAAAAGATAAAATCAAAAAATGAATGACTAATGGTCATCAAGACGTTACTATTATATTAAATAAATTAGTAATACTGCAATTTATCTGTTTCTGTCCAATAAACATAAGACATGAAGCACAACACCACAAGAGTCTTTATCAGCAGTTTTGTTACCCCAAAAACAAAATACTTCAATGAACAAGTGTTTTCCACTAAATTCAATTGCTAGTTTATGGTATTTTAATATAGTGTTGACGGATTGGTTGACTTGTTCATGGCATTAAACTAAGACATACATGCACAAAAGAGAAATACTTCATGTAATAATCAGGAAGGAAAGGGACAGGTTAACCTTCAGAGTTGAACTACACAGCAGCACAATCTCATTGAAAATTTGAATTCAATAACAAATTGTCATATAAAAAAACCAAACCACACCTCAATTGTGAGACCAGCACCAGAAAGCAAATTGGCTGTTGAAACTGTCAAAATGTAGCTTTCATCCACTCCAAGTTGAAGCTACAACACAACACAAGGTCCCAATCTCAAAATCTAAACGTGCTTAAAACACATAAAAGAAAAAAAAAAAAAAAAAAAACCTACCTCATCACTCTTGGAATGAACAGTGATGCTCAATTTGGTAATATCATAGACAGGCCTCAGTGTTCTGAGAAAACTGAACCTATCACCATTCTTGAACACGATCCCTTTGTATCTTTCAAAAGCATCTCGAACAATGGGAGAGGCAGCACCGTTGCCAGAGAGAGAGAATGCAGGGTCAAGAGAAAGAGTCTCATTGCCGAAGCTGAATTGTTTAGGCAGAGGCCAAATGAAGGGAAGAGACCTCTCGGGTTGCGGGGTTCTCACCCCACGAGCTTGAGAAACAAAGAACCCACAACAAATCAGGAGCAAGGTTGGAACAACTCTTGATAATATTATGGGTATGCACAGCAAACCCATAGCTCTGCCAGGACTTTGAGAAATTGTTGGCGTTTGAAGCGCTGAGAGAGAAGCATTAAAGAGAACGTGAATGTAACAAACATGTTTATTGGAGTAGTTAAGGTTAAGAAAATATCGAGAAATCTGACACTGTAAGAAACAGACATATGAGGTAAGGTAAGAATCATTAAATGCACATAACAGACAAGACAATAAAATTCATACACTACTGCATATTTTACGGCACCTTTATGAGAGATTGATTCCCTTTACACAATGGCAAAGAAAAATTCACTATGAGTGCATAAAATAAAATATATCTAATTATGCACTGCACGTTACTTCAATATCATGTTATTCTTGCAATCACATATGTTTATTTATGTCCAACCTACTTTTGTTTCTCTTCTTCCTAGTATCATATTAAACAAAGTATGTAGTTGGTTGTACACGAGGAGCACATAGACATACATAACATAAGCAAGGCACGATGATAATATTGTATGTGAAAAATCATAACATGGCATACCATAAACTTTTGAATACATTGTCTAAACCTCTGTTTGAAACAATTGAAAATGGGAGAAAAATGATGGAAAAAGTGGTAGAATTTGTTTCCTCTTCCATTTGTTTGGTTTCAGAAAAGAAGGAATGATGCAAAACTACATCACATTCACAGGGCTTTTAATCCATCCAAAATGGGTGGTAAGAGGAGGGAAAGCTGTTTTATAAAGTGAAATAACTAATTTATCCTCGTCTATTTACTTAGAATATTTTATTATTTATAATATTTTTCATTTATTTTTTGATCTATTTTTCTCATAATTTATCATAATCCCGTGACCTACCTACCTACCTCCACTGCCCATAATAACTTTTAGGCTTCATCAGAATTTTCTATCTTTTACTCCACTCGCAATTCGCTATGCAAAGTTGACAGTGATACATATCTGTGCTGTCATGATTAATTTCACCTTGAATCTATAGGAACCAGATATTGCCAAATCTTAGGATTAGTTATTATATTTAAAGTTTTTTTTTTCAAATTTTAATTCGATTTTATTTTAAAATATTGTCTTAGATTAAAATATGAGAATTATTATTTTTAAAATCAGATTAATTATTAATCTGATAAATAGAAGGATTTCAGATTTAAGAGGTGCACTATATCTAATTAAATCTAATAAAATAATCTTTTTATAATATAATAAATTTGTTAATAATCATATCTTTATAAAAAAATAATAATAAAAATTATTTATAAAATACAATAATAAAATTTATAAAAATTAAATATACTAAAAAATTATAAAATGAATAATTATTAAAATATAATAAAATAATTATTATTTAAAATTAACTTAACTAGTGTAAAAAAAATTAAAATATATTATATATTTTATAAAAAACTATATTTAACAAATTTAATTTTAAATATTTTTTTACTAAAATTGTTCCATATAAAAATTCAATCAATTTTTTTCAGTTTTATTTTAATTTAATTAAAACCTAATTCTTTAAAAATAACGGACAATTTTTAATCATATCTCAATTCAACCAATTACTAATCTATTTCAATTTTCAAAATAAGAAAAATATATAAAAAAAATTCTTAATTTTAATTTTTAAATAATGTAGATCACAGTACTCGTATATCTAAAATTTTATATTTATTATTTATGATTTTATTTTAAATTTAAGAATTATTAAATATATTATATATATATATATATTAAATATATTTATAATTTTAATATTTTATTATTGTATATTTATTTATTATTTATTAATAATATATTATTTAATTTTTTATAATTAAACTTTTTTCTATAAATAATATCATTTTAAAAAATATTTTTTCAAAACAGTATATTTACAATATTATTTATCTATCTATCATCATTTACTGTTCACGTTGGGTATTCGATTATTAGAGAAACGAATTTTGAACTATCATTCTTTATTTTATTTTTATTTTTTCAGTCAAATATTTTTATTTTTTCAGTCAAAACTCGGTAACTGAGAAACTGAAATTTGGTTTTTCTATTTTTTTTGTTTTTGTTTCATTAATTTTATAAAATAGATTTTTTTTAATTTTAAATATAATTTATTTTTAAGTTTATAATTATTATTTTAATTTATACAAAATAAATATATATATATATATATATATATATATATATAATTTGAAGTTCGTATATATAATTTTAATTTATGTAATATATAATTTATATAGTATATATAATTTATTTAACATTAAAAATAAATATTTTTTATTAATTTTATTATTATAATTTTTTTAACTTTATAATTATAATTTTTATAATATATATAATTTATAAATAGTTTTTTAATTTTAATTTGATATATATTTTTTATTTGTAATTATTTAATGTATATTTAAACTAATTTATTTATATATTTATATATAATATTTTATAATTTTATTTATATAAATAAAAAAAAATTACTCTAAATTAATCAAGTAAAGAATAAATGTTAGTAATTGAAAAACTCGTAAGTTTCATAGTATAGGCCCATTGTTTCATAGTGCAGAGTCTATCAACTCTGTTTTGAAAAAAACAAAAAATTTGTCCATTTGCTCCATGGCTAAGGTAACGTACATCCGCTGTAACAAACTTTTCATTCAAAAAGAGAAGCAGATAGATGTCATGATCAATGCTGGTCATGTATATTTTAAAATTTTGATCACAAATTTAGAAAAAATACAAACACAGACGAACACGCATAGGATCATAACTTTTGATAGATTTACCATAAAATTTGTAGTAGAAGAAATACAAAATCCGCGTTTACATGTTCTTGCTCCATGCAAGCTTGTACAACATGACTTCAACAACTACATTCATCCAGTGTATACCTTACAACAAATTTTAAAAGTATACGAAACACAATTTTAGTTACTGCTAAATGAATAATATTGGTCAATAAGGAGAACCTAATTTGTGTGCAAATCCAAAAATAAAAAGAACTTGCATGTATATATATAAAGTATAATTTATAATATATATATTTATTTTTAATGTTAAATAAATTATATATATTATATAAAGTATAATTATATATATTACATAAATTAAAATTATATATATATATTATAAATTAAAATTATATATATATATATTATAAATTAAAATAATAATTATAAACTTAAAATAAATTATATTTAGAATTATAAAAAAATATATTTATAAAATTAATAAAAAAATTAAAAAAATAAAATTAGAAAAACTAATTCAGAATTCTATTGAATTTTGACTAGAAAATAAAAAATATATATAAAAATGGTAGTTTAAGAAACTAAATTCTAAATATATACGGTAAATGTTCCTAACGGTAATAATGGTATAGAGATATTATTTTTGAGAAATATTTTTAAAAATAATATTATTTATGAAAATGAAAAGTCTTATAATTAATAATCAAAATCCTAATATAAATTATAAATTCGCGTCTAATTCCGCTTAACTTAAACCCAAACATATAGTTCACCAAAATAATTGTTAAAGTCATCATTCGTGTCACAGTTTCGTCTAAAATATCATTTGAGCATGTCACGCATGACTAAGAAATTGAGAAAAAATTAGAAACGTCTCGAAGGAAGCAGCACTAGATATTCTCTACAACCTACAACACCATGTGGCCTTCGACATCGAAACAAAAGAATAATAATCTGAGGTATGACTCTAACAATTTTTCTCAAATCTTATTGAAGATATTGTTAACTTCGATAATTACGCTCAAATCGGGCATCATAACATTATTTATTTTAAAACTTTAATTTTAATTCCTTACAAAAATAAAATATATATAAATTCATGAGCCCATTTCAAGCCCAACATATTTTTGTTAGAAATGTTTTTGTTGTATCCCACTGCAAGCCCACCGTTTAACTATTTTCACGAGTTATAAAATTACGTTACTTATTAATTATTTTTTGAAGTAAATATCTACCAATTAAATTTACCAAAAAGGTATTAGTTTCGTTTTACTTGTCTGGTACCATTTTTCATTATGCTTTTTCTCTTCTTTTTTTTCTTTTTTATCTTCATCTTTCTGAAGCATAAAAAAAAAAAAAGTAAAGTCCCATGAAAATAAATTTTTAGAATAATTAGAATTTAAAGTAAATAAAGATCATAGTATAAATGAGTTTGTTAATTTAATATGAGCATGAGAATCATTTAAAAGAGAGTTAAAAAAAAAAAAAAAAGTTGAACAGATATGAATACGATGAATAGGACAACAATGAAGTGCTGTAACAATCCTTGTAAAAGGTTACCGGAGAATTGACGTTATATGATGTAATGTTTTTTTTTTTTTTGTCATTTTGGAAGCACACAAGAACAGTGTCGTCTTTGATTAATTTCCCAAACGAATCTGATAATCTTTTCAAATCACTAAATAAGGAATTGTAATTATTTCTTTAAAATTGTAATCAATTTGCTCCGAAAAGAAAAAATATTTTTCATGAAAAAAAAATATTTGCTATTCTCGTGAGTCTGAACCCGTGTTTCTACTTCTCTGACCGTTGAGATGAACAACAAGTTGATGAATCGTGATCCTGTACGATAAAAAAAAAATTGCTCTAGCACTTGAGATTTCAAATCATGGTCCTTGTCAACACAATGTTTTTTCAAATAATTAATTAATGTCGAAGCTGATTTGAATAACCCAAATCATTTTCAAAATTGCTTTCGATGCCTATTATTTCACTTTTTATATAATTATTATTTTACATAAAATTAGTAGAGATTTCAAATAAAGTTTAAGTGGTTCAAATCCTAGATATTTAGCTGTGTAATCCCAAGAAGCCACTATTGATTGATATAATATTCAATTATCAGTATATCCAGAAACTAAAAAAATTAATTTTAGTGCAAATTTTTTAATAAAATTAAAAAAAAATTAAGAATCATGATGCGGTCAATCTCCATGTCTACATAATATCATATATTATATAAGAAGTATCAAATAAAAAATTCATTATTTAATTTTAACTA